AACACAGGACCGTCAACTGAAGGGCCGAGAATGTAAAGACCAAAGCCACAAAACAATTTTTTACTGGACACCAAAATAAATGTTTAAAAAAACCATATATCAAAACTTCATAACCACAAACTCCCAATATAACCAAATACGTCTTTACCATCAAGTGCAATGTAATTGAGATTAAATTTTGCAGCTTCAACTTGAGTCCAATATCTTAATGCAAAGACATCCTTCTGTCTGAAGTCTGCATTGTCATCAAAACGGAATTTGGCATCCAAGCAGAAATCTATCGAAATGAAAGTAAAATTAAACTATACTATCCCCAGTATTATCAATTCAAATCAGGCGTTCTTCACTCTCAAACTCAAAAGCTGTTGCTTCAGAAAAGTTCAGAGGTAGTACCATAATGACATTCTAATTTATTCAAGTTTTCTTGTAGAGCATATAAATCTTCGAAGTCTTCCAGTTTCATTTTCGTCACCAAAAAATTGGAGTGAAATTTCTTTTTCAGGCATATGCATAATGGGCTTAAAACTTATATAACATAAAACATATTTTTTAATGTAGCCATATGGAAGCCTTGTGTGGCCAACCTCAGATGAACTGATGTTTTACTGATTCCGAAACATTATGAGTTACCAGAGATCTCTTGAGTGCTGCAATGGTTGTTTTTCCCCTGGCTCCTGCAGATATTTAATATCTCAGCATCAGGTTTTCCCAAGTTCCAGACATTTCAACATGCAACTTTAAACCCTTTCCAAAGACCATTTAATTCTACCTATTTTAGAAATACTAGAGCAGAGCGCTCCTTTCGGAGCTCCTCTGGGGGTTGGTTGCATTTTAAAATCTTGAGTAAGAAACTAAACCAACCCCCCGAATTGGGGGTTAAAACACTTGGTCAAGTGTTTAAAACACAACCAACCCCTGCCTATGGCCTCCTCAATTCTCCTCTTCCATTCGGTCTGTCTGTCCGAGGTTGGGGATCAATGTTAAAGGTATAATGGCACTGACAGAAAATTATATTTAAATTGCATGTCATAACTAAGAATGACATAGTCCTATGCTCAGATTTCATTAAAATATTATAGTCTTAAAAAAGCACTTTCAGGGGAAGAGACAACGGGCAGCAAATAACTTGATCCGCTTGGGTAGAAATATTCTTCAGAACTTGTATTTTTGTATTCATTTGCCAAAGAAGTAAACAGTTGGTGGTTGCCATTTCAATGACATAGGTCTGTGAAGTAAACTATGTCAAAACTAAATTTCACAGAGGCGTGGCTTTGGTATTTTATCATTCTCGCCATTTCAATTACTTTGTAGACAGCAAAAGCAAATCCAGGTTTAATCACCTGGAACAATCTTCTGGAGAAGTCCATAATAATTAAAGTCATTTAATATCATATGTTTTAATTTATGTAACAAGACAAAACTTTTAATAAAACACTATGAACAGGTATTTTAAAACACTAAATTAACCTTTATTGTACAAGCAGGAACATATTACAGGGTGGCTGGCCACAAATTAGCTCTGTGTATGATGGCACTATGCAAGGACAATAAAGGTTAAATTTATATTACATAATTACACAGTCCTTTACAGAAGCACCACATTTATCTTGCAAATATCAGGGTCCTGTTACCCCATCTGCAAACACAATTGCAGACTCCTGAATAACTCTGGCTGACTGCAAGTTAAGGCAGTGCTTCTGCAGTAGCAAAGGAATGCAATGAATAACGAAGTGCAGAAAACAGGTGTGGTGTTATATCAAAGTGTGATTATTTAAAATATATCACTTAAAGAATATGAGAAATTAACCTTCAAAACTGAATACAGAATCAATATGATTACAGGGAAAGAAAGAAAAAATTCTTGTAAGAAGCGACAGAAATATACTTAAAACGTAAACAAACAAATAATGATCTGGAGATTATCAGCAATTATCTTTCCACAAATATGTGATGAATGTTACCGGTATATAAAGACACATTTTATTTTCTTCTGAACTGATGTAATGAATTTTTAGGGCTTTATACTCAAATTTCACATTTCCTATGCCTTAGTCCCATAAATTATAAATTTCAAGCATATATGGCACAAAATTATTGAAATATTAATTTTATCATTTTAATTTTTAAAAAATCATATCTTCCCAAATGTGTTCAACATAATAAATTTATTTAATTATCTGGTAAAGAAATATGTTGGTCAATGCTAATTCTGAAAATATTTCTTACCGTCATTTTAAACTCTTGTCACACAAGTTTCTAATTCTACATTGATATGTCTGCATTGTAAATATGAACCATATATTCTTTTTGTGAACCATATGAAGTTCTGACCTAAGAATCACCACAATGAGATCCAGTTGAAGCACTCTGCTCCATTCCCCTTCTTTCTTTGGCTCTCTTCACAGCCAACACAGCAGCAGCATCATAATCCATTTCCATCTCCAATGTTGTAAAACTGGCTTTTTGCATAATCTCATCAGCTTTATGAGCAAAATTACCCTGTGGGGAAAACAAAAAAGACAAAAACAAGCCCATGCAATTTAATAAAATTCATGCCATGGTTCTATATTAATCATGCAACTTCAAAATTATAAACTCAAGAACACACGAATGCCAGAACTTTTTTGTGGTTTTGTTATGGGACTATAAAGATGATTGGAGGCTATTAACAGGGAACTGGGTAGGAGCAAAGAGTCCTAGAGTAAGGTTGGTATTAGTCGAAAGAGAGATTAAAAAATCTTTAATGCCAGCTGTTAGTGTTGTGGCTTATGCCTTCGTGTGCGTCTTATACCATCCTAGTCTCTGCACTGCTAACTAGGACAAAATTAAGAACACACTTCTTTTAAAAGATCCTAGGGGTTAGATTTAAATTTTGCTACCATTGACAGAATGATAGCAAAGACGGGAATGTCAAAATAAAAAGAGGACCTAGAGCTTCGTGGAATCTAAGTCATGAAATTCCTCACATACTCAACATTTTCACTTCATTAGAGGTGGAAGAAGAGCAAAATGTGGAAAAATCTGCAAATGTGTGTGGCTGGTCTCACACTCCAGATATTTTCCACAGAAAGCCAGTGCCTTCACCATACGATCCAGAGACCATCCAAATACTGTGAAAATATTCTTCTAACTCTTCATTAATTCATGAAACAGCTGGTTACGTAATGGACTATAGCAAGATGCCAAATTTGTACTTGGACTAAGTTTCAATTTGTGGTATGTAGCCTATTTGGGCTATCTGTTCCAAGATAACTTCTGCAATAATTTCCTTACAAAAGGCCAATACCACATCTAGCCCACAATTCCACTAATATCTTCCCTTCCTATTTCTGTTGTCTCCAATGAAAATGTACTTAAACTATAACTACCATATTTATGGCCACAGCAGTTTTATTACAAATGTTGTTCAGATATGGGACAGCACTTTGAAGTAACCTGTGTCAAAGAGATAATTCATGCCTTAATTAGCATTACCAATGCAAAGCATTGACATTGTACCTCCAGAGAAACAAGTAAACGTAGGCACAAAACAGTGCATCAACACTCCAAGATGTTAAATCAGAAATTGGAAATAGGGACAACCCTACAAAGAGGACTACTCTGGTATCACTGCAGTAAGAACATGGTCAAAATAGTACATTACTTTCTGAGATGCCTGAATGTATCATGTTTGAACTGTTCTTCTGGCATAAGAAAGAGTATGTCACACAAAAACTTTATGTATAAAATAAATTTAAGAAAATTAAACTTTCTGAAATTAAAGCATAAACACTGAAATGAAGGAAAAATGTTTTGCTACTTCTTTTGTTAAAAAAACCTTATAAATGGACATTTTCTGTGTCATATCTGAGTACCAGCACCTTCATTTCTAGAAACAAAACACCGAATGTTTATTCACTTTCCAGCTTAGGTAATTACAATCTTACTTATAAAACTAGTACATGCTATGAAAAACCTAGATAATCATCACATCAGTACGCCTATAACATGCAACAAATGCTACAAAAACTGGAGTGTGAAGAAAGCAATACAGAATACTATAAAGTTCAAGATACTCCTTTCTATAACTACATTAGAAGGTTGTTTATAATAAGCAAAAATGTTACATGTTTCAGGCACTTACAGCAATGAAAACCTCATGTGTGAATATGTTTTAATGCATAAGACGCAAAGCTTTGCTCTGGAAACAGTTAAAATGATATACTGGCAATAAACTATGAACAATACTTCAACAATGTTCCTTTAATACTTCAGTCTTCTTATCTCATTCATATTATTCCAACATCACCTTTTTCCCCTTAAAAATTTCTTCAGATATCAACAACACAGCAGAATATAAAAGATACTGAACTGCTGTGACTGAGTTGTAGGTTTATTTTAAGGATGTCTGCTGTACTCCATAGGAATATTCAGGACAGTAAAGTCAGTCTACAGCAATTACGTAAATGTGTTTAGTAAACTGGGATAATACCAAGGGATCTCATTAAGATACTCAGATTCAGTGTTTTATGTGAGAGATAAGAAGAGCACTTACCTGAATAAAGGTTCATATACATACAATACAAAGCTGTAATCAAAATGAGAAATAAATGAAATGATCACATTTCACATGTATCTACATGCTCTTATTGAGATATGTACTGCAACTGATTTTATAAATAAGAAAAACCTGCAAAGAAATCTAAGGACTCCACAAATTGGAGTTCAATATATTTATTCCCTACTCACATTGTAATGAATCAAGCAATCTGAATAGTGACATTCATGAAATGTTTAAAAGATGTTCCAAAAGACATTTGCCACACAAGACTGATACTGTGGGTGCAAGATTAATGTTTTATACAGCTGATTAAAACCTCAAAGAATTATAAACTGTAGAGAAGTGGTGGACTTCTTGGTTTATATCTCTTAACACTGCCAAAACAAATAAATTTAAATACCTTTTCAAGAAATAAACGAACAGTATCAACATTAAGAACATTATGTACTATCTGTAAGATGCAGAAACAGTTATTAATTTATACATTACTTGTTTCAAGTTGCCTAAGTACCAGGTCTACAATTTATGAGGGTGTGGTCGGCGGGCACTCTGTTGATGTGGGCGGGAGTTGTGCGCATTCTTGCGGTGGGTGACTGGCGAATCAGTTTCAGTGCCGCTAGTAACAGCGAACTACGAACATTTCTCGTCACTAATACATGTTATTACATTAATTGTTCTTACCATAAATCACAAAAGATGTTCAAAGTGACTTACTTGTGCTTGAAGGCAAGCTTCACATCTCGTTAACATGTTTCAAAATACTCGACGAAGCTCTTCTTGGGAAATTGCTGAAATCAATTGTCAAATATTTTCTTTAAGTGCTTCTGCAGTGTGTGGATAAATTGTGAACGTTATGTAAATTTAATACTTAGACCCTTTTTCCAAGAAATGGCCGATGAAGAAAAGACTTACGGTTTCTTCATGCAAGACAATGCTACATCTCACACAGCTGATCGGTCGATGTAAGCATTAAGAGAAGTGCTTGGTGAACAAGTTATCGATCAGTGGCCTCCACGTTCCCCAGACTTAAACCTGTGTGATTTTTACCTGTGGGGCATGCTGAAGAACAAAGTTTATATAAACAATCCGCACACTGCAGAAGCACTTAAAGAAAATATTCAACAATTTCCCAAGAAGAGCTTCATCGAGTATTTCGAAACATGTTAACGAGATGTGAAGATTGCCTGCAAGCACAAGGAAGACACTTTGAACATCTTTTGTGATTTAAGGTAAGAACAATTAGAGAAATATTCGTAGTTCGCTGTTACTAGCGGCATTGAAACTGATTCGCCGGTTACCCATCGGAAGAACGCGCCCAACTCCCGCCCACATCAACAGAGCGCCTGCTGACCACGCAATCCAAGCACGACCGGTGCCTCATAAATTGTAGACCCGGTATAAGAGCGACCTGTTTGCTAAGAGTAAGAATACTCAGTCTTTGACAGGAAGAGTATTAAGGCAATAAAATACTTGGCATACAAAGCAGTAACATTCTGAAGTAACAAGTTAGCCCATGACTAACAATGAAGACGTCACCTCCTACATTTATATAATAAACACCATGAAACTGAATTCTTATAAATCTACAGGAAAAATTAAATTAAATATAGTAGTATTATACCATGAAATATGGTCTGTACTTCTCTTAAACTCAGATTTCTAAGAAAGGAAACTCTTACAAAAGGACATGTAAATAAATTACTGAGCTATCATGCATAACCCCTTCATTCAGATTAACTCAACTAAGCATGCACTGTAATGTTAAGCATGCCCTAGTGAATGCAGTATGGCAAGCAACAGCTCAACTCAGTTCTCTATAGATACAAACTTCCTTTCTTTTCATCATGTATTATTACATTTATACTCTTATACCATATGCCTCGCCTACCACAGATACAGTATAGACAAAATCTAACTTGAGAAGTTCCTGTAGAAAGAGTTTTGTAACAGCCAATGTTAATGTTAGTCTTACAAGCTCCCAGTTATATAACAACTTAACATGATTACTAAATTCAATGTAAGTTGTCAAAACATAAAGGAAAAAGTATCAGATAAGATAAATAAAAGATACCCTTAAAAATATGATGAAAACATAAATGTATACACAAATAAATAAATAAATTAATAAAAATAACCTGAAAATCACAATATAATTACTTTGTGCATAAATTCATACATGTGGGAAAGTTATTGGCAATGGGAGCTTTAGTATTACTATAGCAAAGATTTATTCACATCAATGGATATTTTTGATGCAGATTTCATGAAACCCTTACAGCTGCCCAAGCACAGTTTCATTCAAAAACAAACAAATTCAACCTCACATTGTATCCTTACAATTAATAGGGCTTCACAAATGCTGTCACATCAAACAAAAATAAATACACATGCACAACACATTTTCACATCAAAAATTAATTTCTAGATATCCCAATACTGAACAGGAATTCAGCTAACTTTCTTTCTTATTTCCACCATTATATACACAAAATATTTAATTTGGAACAAATTCAAACTGTAACAATGCAGATATTACAAAGTGTCCTCAATCCACTGTCTTCTTTCATTACATGTTAATACATGTAACATAGTGGTTATACTTGGGTAACAAAATCATATGCTCAATGGTAAAAAATTCATTCACTATACTACAGCTTTATGAAACCCTGAATATTATGAAACAGATACAATGGAGACAAACAAATAAACCACTGTACTTATGTAATAAAGAACTGAGATTGGGATTCTGTAAGGGACACGTCCACAATGCAATGGAAAGCTTAGAAGGCTATCTGTTATGCTGCTTAAAACTGTTCAGACTTCATGTAAGTATACAGTACCATATCTGGGAGCTCTGAAAGTCAAAATATTTTCTGTCCAAAACTGCAGTGAACATCTCACTTCATAAGTACAACATTATAATATAAGTGTAAATGAAGTTCATGTGCTCTGGGATCGGACTAAAAACCGATTTACAAACAATAAATTTCATTACAATATGAGATTACTTCACCCAAATTCTGTAGTGTCACATTTGGTAATTGCCTATTTCCTACAAAAGAACATTAAAAAACCTTTGTTCACATACAGAACAAAAGAGATATGATAACGAACATAAATGTACATTACCAAATATTATATAATACTCATTTAAGAGATTCAAATGAAATTTAACAAAGCAATAACTTCCAAAATGAAAGACAAAATGGAGTACATGAACTTCATAAGTGGTATCATGAAAAAAGAAATCAATATGAAAATATACACAGGGAATCAACAGTCTATCTTCATCTCTTAAAGGGGAATTTCAAAGTTGACATCTAGTTTGGCATCTCTTGCCAAGCTGACGATATTTGACAACTTGACAGATAAACGTGCTGCTTCATCCAAGTTGTCACATGCCAGTATCTTGAGCCCTGATGATGCAATCAAAACCTTGGCATCATCCACGTTCGTGCCCTGTTAATAGAGGAAAAGAAACAACAAACACTTCTGTATCAAATGGATAATTTCAAAATCTGAAAACTTAACAATCACCATATAAAGATTGTTTGAAATGTTAGTAAAAAGGTGCTCAAGCAGTTTAGTTAATGTGATATTTAAAAATAAATACATCCACCACATAAGTGTCTGTTGGTATCCAAACAACAAATGCAAGTAACAAGATTAAAATACTGCAGTTACATGAGGGCTGAAGCCTAAGGGAGAATCACACCCACACCTGGAAGAGATAGGGTAACATATATATATATACACACAAGGCTGAAACATGATGAAAAGCAGGTTGTATACACATAGCTGGTTAATAAACACAAAACAGTTGTAAGTACTGCATATGTTGGAAGGACAAAGTAACACTGATAATTGGAAAATGCAACAAACACGGTGTATTATTTACACATCATCATGCCATGAAAATGCATCCCTGTTAATTCACACACAATTTAATACTTTCACAAAACAGTGATTTGTATAATTTAAAACAGTGGTGATGCAGTAACTACTTTGTAGTTAGAAACAGTGAAGGGCACAGACTGCTTATTAAAAAAAAGGTTATATTTGCATAATGAAGAACAGGCCAAAGATGGAGAACTTTATAAAGGAAGGAAGGACTTTATTACATTATATACATACCAGTAATGTTAGGTGCTGCTTCTAATAGTTACTGACATGTGCCATCTCACACCCTATTTGATGTTTAGACCATTATGAGGCCAACATAACATTCAAGAAAGTCCACTGACAGCAGTGACCCCTTCTCATACTGAAGTAATAATGAACCAGTATGAAGAAACAAAATAAAACACTTCCCAATCACAAAGGATTACTGGAGTATGGAAACAAAGAGATCAAGAATTTCTATAGCAAACCAATTGTGATACAGATGAATAAAAGGCTTCCCACAAAAACCCAATGTTCAGTCCACTGTTTCTCCACCACATCTCACAGAGTATTAATAAACATTCACAAAAATATTAAGAGAACACAATTTAAAACTGATCACCTTACATCACAAGCATAATTAAAAGAGTATTTATATCCTCTGTAAAAGTATGAGGTTTGCTAAATGTAAGTACATAAATTATTACAGAAACAACAAAACATAGAAATATCCTTCATGTTAACATGAGTGAGAAGACAAAGCATGTGCATGACAAAAGCTAATGAAACACAAACATTATGCAATGATATTTAGATGATAAATTGTTACAAAGAAACAAATATGTCATGCTAATAGAACTGAAGACACACATAAGAAAGGACAAGCATGACAAAAGCTTTCAAAACACGAACATCATGCAGTGATAATTAGATGCAAATTTAAAGACTGCAGAACAACACACACATACATGCATGTGCACTTACATCATAAGTCACTATTTACATTATTTTATAGAACCTAAGAAAACATCTCAACCACAAGTTTCAAATTATTTAAAAAATTTTAGTAACAATTTATTTGCTGAAAAACTAAGTAAAGTAAAGTTTGTCCCACTATACGCCATATAGGCGCTTGGGGGTAGAGGAGGTATAGCTCCTACTCATTCTTGACCTCGGCACTAGATGGGGGTAAGTGGTCAGCATCACGCCCTGGATGGCTTTACCCCCGGGAAAGGACCCCGGTAGCAGAAAAAAAACTAATGCTTTAGTAAATAAGATTGTAATAAATTACAACAGCAACATAATACTTAAATCCATATTAATCTTTAAAAATTAGTGGTGTGAAAAGCCTAAATTTTAACTGGCTAATGAAGTAAACAGACCAACATATAAATATTTAACTGACTGGACTGATTAACAAATTATTTATCTAGGCACTATATTAAGCTTTTTTAAGTCTCATATATGTAACTTGAAAGACAGCAGTACTAACGACGATGTTTAAAGAGCAACTGAAAATGCTGAAACATGCAAAATGCACCATGAAAAAATAATACAAGCAACTTGTATTATTAAACAAAAAACTTTAAAATTATTTCAGTCTTGCTAGGTGCTTTCCTCCAAATTTTCATTTCAGTGTATAATTTTCAGTTATATACAACTAAAAGTTTGCTACAACTAAAAGCAAGAACTAGTAAACCCAAACAAATATGCAAACAAATATTTAACCAATAAAATTATTATTTATGTACTTCATTCTTTGTTTATTCATTACTATATCTAAAGCCACCCCAACCTGCTTTGTACCGAAAAATAACTTTACTCAAGTAAGGAAGATGTTTTAAAGTAGTTTAAAAATTATGATGTTGACACTTATGCTTCTTCAAATATCATAGGATTGAGTTTCATAAAAAACACTTTATCCAAACCGTTGTAAATACACTTCCTACAAAATAGGTAAATTTCAGAACTGGCATAAACTCTAAATCATGCATGCTATGACAGTTCTCTCTGCAAAAACTATGTAAAATAATGTTCTTTATATCTTAAAACATTCCCTACAGAATCTATAACAGTACCATTTAAACAGAAAACAAGTCCAAAAGAGACAAAGTTGACCAGTTATTATTATTATTACATTAATTATTAATTCTTGCAGCAACAAAATAGGAAGAATTTACTCCAGTAACACTGCTCATATGAACACATCAATTTTATTTATATGAATTTTGATGAGATACAACTATTCAAGTAAACTATATTGTTCAAGTAATGCAACATACCTGCAGTCTGCAGACAATTGGAACTTTCAGGTTAAGGTCTTTTGCAGCTGCCACTATGCCTTCGGCTATGACATCACACCTCATTATACCACCAAAAATATTAACCATAATGGCATGGACCTGGTAAGTAAAACGGATCTGGAATGACTATTGTGAATCATATTCACTGATATAAGCTAAAGATATTGCAGTGAGGCATCACAGTCTGATAACTTTAATTTTATATAAAGTTTCTATTAAACCTTATGGCATGTTAGTAACTGTGATTCTCAATCAGATCACATTCATTTTTGTAAGTCTGCATTATTCAATTCAATTCTTTATTATTAATGTGCTGTATCAACAGCCAAAAGGCCAATTACAGATACAGCACAACAGATGAGTAAACAAACACAGTAGTAAATATAGAAAGGTAACAACAGAATATAGAAATACATTAGTACAGAGGACGCTAATATCCAGAGATCGTATTTGGCTTTGGATACAGTCCTTTTCATTTCCGATATTGGGCTCAGTTGCGACAGCGTATTTATCACTTGCAGTAAAGCATGTGATAAATACACTGCAGAAAATGCAACAGTAGCAAATACTTTATTGGGTACAATAAATTTTTGTATGGAGCTAAAACTGGGCAAAGTAAAATCAGATAACTCACACAAATGCAGAATTAATAACTCGCAGGATATGTTACGTATATTTACCAAATGCCGAATATAGAAAACCTTAATCTGAATCTACAAATTTAATTGAGTCTGCTGAAATGTCTCGCACTAATATATTCCAAGACTTACGGAAAATATACTCAGAACTATGCAATCAAAAACAACCCGAGTGTTCATGAACACCAAAAATTAATTACTACAATATGATCATAAATAAATGTATAACATACTTTGGGATCTGCTGTAATAATTTTGAATGCTTCCTTGACTGCTTGTGCAGTGGCTCCACCACCCACATCTAGGAAATTTGCTGGGCTTCCTCCATGAAGTTTAATGATGTCCATTGTTGCCATTGCAAGACCAGCTCCATTAACAAGGCATCCAATATCACCTATGGTAAGAGGGAAATTCAACACAGGTGTGACATGTTTCATAACCTGCTATTCCCATCTTGATATTGGCCTCCCTCTCCTCTATAGCAATCATGAAAAATTATTTAAAAATTTCACTGAAATGCCACGTAAGAATAAATAAAAGCATTCTTAATATAGTTTGAAGAATAAAGTCCTGGTAAATGTGGATAAAGTGTATTATTTTTAACCATCCTTTCATAAATTGCAATATATCTGTGCTATGTACATCTGTACATGCAGAAGTTTCTTGTAATATTCAACTCAGCATAAGAAAGAAAATCTTACAAGTTCACCAAACTGTCCCCTGAATATCACTGTATGGAGCTCTTACTGTGTATATAAAATACTGTACAAATCAAAACTTCATAATCACAAACTTCCAATATAACCAAATACGTCTTTACCATCAAGTGCAATGTAATTGAGATTAAATTTTGCAGCTTCAACTTCTTTTTCATCCTCTTGAGTCCAATCTCTTAATGCAAAGACATCCTTCTGTCTGAAGTCTGCATTGTCATCAAAACGGAATTTGGCATCCAAGCAGAAATCTATCAAAATGAAAGTAAAATTAAACTATACTATCCCCAGTATTACCAATTCAAATCAGGTGTTCAGTAGAATATTTACACAAATAAAAAATGACATTTTGTCCCTTCCATGTAAAAATAGAAGATAAAGTAACATATCAAGATGAATTTTGTTTATAGTTGTGTATCTACTAACTAGTGAGGAACCTGTAACAGGAAGTCAATCAGTTCCCAGTTTCCATAACAAAAAGAAATTTCCTGAATATCTACTGCATGATCTGAAATTTTCATGGCGACTAAGTGCAATGAATTCTTCTAGGGCTACCAGCCATGTCAGGTGGTTTAATGCAGTAAACACCAACATTTCGAGAACAATCTCCATCCTTGTCCTCAGGGTACTCAAGTTGTAGGAGATCCTATCTGTGCTCTATACATATCTGCTCCAGTATCGTATTATTGGCTTCACATTAGCCAATAGGGCTTATTGTGCAGAGTAACATGCTCGCCATATCTTTTTAGCCCAGCTTTCCGATTGGTGTTTTCTCCATTAAACCACCTGGAATGTTGGTAACCCAAAAAGAATTAACTGAATATGTATTTTTACTTATACCGCATAAACAGGAGTCACACAATATAATAGTTGTTGTACACTGACAACTATTATGCTGCTACAAAAAGGATGACACACACATCAGAAAAAGCCACAGACAGAACTAACCTTCTAAATCCAGCAGATGTATATACATAATATACCAACACTTGATAAGAGAAACTGAATAATTACAGTGGCACACGGTCTTCCTTAAAAGTTGATACTCAGCAGGCCAACATTCACTCTTTAATGGAAGTTAAAGTTTCATTACCATATTCATTAAAATGTATCATTGTACTGTATTCTCAGGCAATTCAATTCAGTCCATTTCACACACCATTCCTCTTTTAATAATACTGTCTTGTGTAAGCAAATATTTCAAAACTGGCATCTTACAATGATGGTTTGCAACCAAATTCTGTTTGGAGTTCTAAACTTTGTCCAATGCATTCTATATATTGTACCCATCTCAACCTCTAATTTAGTTACCCAAGTAATATTAACACAAAAGTCCTTCAGAATCTTAAAATGAGAGAAAATTTCATGAATAAAGCAGTACTTATGAACTTAACAAAACCTTCTTCACTTACAGTTTCCCTCAGTGTCTTCTGCATAAGGATTTACTTCTATAAGAAGTGCATCCTTCTCGACAAATAGATTATAAAGTCGAAACAACATATCTACTGTCCCAGCCTTCTTATCACCACCAAGTCCTAATTTCTCAGCTACTCTCTCTGCCTGACTTTTAGTTATTCCTGAAACAGAACAGTACTAATTAAGTGACTTCAAAGTACAAATGCTTGCAGGGATTCCAACCACTTAAGAGTTACTACTGAATATAATGAAATAAAATTTAGATTTCCAATCTGATGGATGCACAAGACATACCACAGCATTCATCACCATATAAGAGAAACTTATGAAGAAAAATATGATACTGCCTTAAAAAAACATCACTCCAGAAAGTCTGAGACTATACTTTTATTTGCTATCATTTTACTGGGAAATCTGTCGGTTGATTACTGTATTTAACCAAATACCACATGCCCCCAAATAAAATATGTAATAAAATTTGTTACAAAAGTAAAATTTTTTTTAAATGAAAGTAATACTAAATACCAAAAACTGATAAATTATATAAATGGGTCTAATCCCACCCCAGATATCTACACAAGTATATATGATAGCCAATAAAACTGAACAGCGCAGAAAATTATTAAAAACATACAATAATATTTTTCAATTACTAGCATGCTTCACTGCCATCTGAACTGATCTTGTCATTGTTAGTAACCCAAACTATGGTAGTAATATAGAAAAATTTTCCCTTTTTTTACTTGCCATGCCACAGAGAAATTGCATCATTTAAAATTTTGCAACCAATTTCAGCTTATGCTGGAGTCCTGCATTCAAATTTATCTTTTGATTCATCAACTGGCACATTTAACTTCACACCACATAACCAAACTGCTAACTCACATTTAAATATGAAGAAAGATCTTTTGTACTACTGGAGATTTTGCATTTTGCTCACAAAAAGCCTACTAGTGACCACTACTTTGATGAAAAATATTTTTCTTTTTCATCCAGTCCTGGATGCAATTTCATGTCGACAGATAAGAAAAGTCAGAATTTGTGGCAAAAACCAACAATTTTAGGGAACATTGCATAATTAACTTATTGAGCAAAATATACATTTTATCGCATTTAAAGTAAATTTTAAACAAACTGTGACCTTTCCATTTCCACATGTAACCACAATCTCATACAAACCTTCCATGACGTTAACTGGTTCATAGTGAATGGCATCAGGATTCTCTGCTGCAACATCTTCAATATTAACACCACCTTGAGATGAGGCTATCAATACAGGACCCTAGAATATAAATTTTTTACATTTTCTTAACAACAAGTAAAGATGTGAATCATATCTTGTTAATGAAGAAATTTTCCAAGATAACCCGTAACATTCAGTCTGCAGTAAAATAATGCAGCACTTTCTCCAACAGCAAAGGCAGCCACAGTGTGATTGCTGACTGACCTCACATTAAAGTAGTCAACTTTGTAAGAGATAAAAAAAAGATGGGATGTGAAAGGTCTATGTGGTCTTGAACCTAAGACTTTCTGTATGGGAGGCCTTTCCCTAAACCACCAAGTCCCTGATACCTCCTCCTACGGCTAAGATCAATGAATGCCTGAAGCTTCGCCTCCAAAAATTAAGGAGCAAACCACCTTCATCAATACCATATTTTTAACATAATCTACACAGATCTTTAATTATTTACTTTCAAGTAAGAATACCAACTGAGCACCAGGCCAGTCTATTATAAACAAGGACAGGATCTGATCATGACAAATTCTCCATTCCTCAATTAACTCAACAAATTTAAGACAAAATATTCTCCTCAATCCGTTTATTTGTACATGTCCCTTTACCACATGCTGTCATGATGTTTGTGCCTGCATTTTTATGCAGTACAATTACTACACTTTCTAAAAATGTACTTTAGAAAGAAACAATTAATTGAAACTTACTGCAAATGCTCTCTCCATCATGACAGCAATGTAATACTCCTTGCGTGGAAACTTCCGTTCTGTAACCATAACAGAATTACAGATACGCCCCGCTTCACCAGTCTGTTTTGTTACCAAGTACTGGCCAATCATCTTCCCTGCTAGTTCTGCTGCTTCCTCTGGCCTAAAGAAAACAAAATTAATAAAAGAGGTCTATACTAGTACTAGAACCTCACCAATAACATCATACATATCTACAGATTACTAATGCTATTCAATACAAACCAAGACTCCAACTCCCACTTCTATTTGAGATCATAGAAACAGTTTTGCTATGCAAGTACATGATAACACTCAGAGTTATTCAAATGAACACTATAAAACTGATTGAAAATGTTCATATTCCAATGTAATAAAACTACTGGTATGAGTGGTCATAATACTCAAAAGCAGCATTTTCTTTATACTGGTATTCCTCAGTGACATCGCTTCTCATAAAACTCAGAAAATAAAAGAATTTAATTAAAATGGGAAATAACAAATGTTTCAACTTTAATTCCTGGTATTCTAAATGTACAATGTCATTATTTCCAGATTCGCTGGTGATACATTTTGTTGAGAAATTTAAAAACTATGGCCCATTACATCATTTGATACATTTAAGTACTGACACCTTAGACTAAGCCAGTCATTTCCACACCTTAAAGATTCATAACTATCTTCCAGTTGAAGCTACATTACCTATGCAGATGAAGAAATGCCATTAAATAAACAAAAAATAGAAATGAATAAGTGATTCTTTACCATCAGACGACATATGGAAATGAAAATTAGGAGTATCCAACATGCATGCAACAGGTTAGAAAAAGATGTCAGAAAAAGTGATAGTGGAACCACGGTTCCGGAGAATTAGACGTAAATACGTCTATACGGAAAGGAAGTTGATATATTGGCATTATTCTAAATATTTCCTTTATACATGCTTTACAATTGAATAAAGTTTGATTAAGACATTGCTTATTCAACTTCAATTAGTTACGCTTAAAATGGGTCTGTGGTAGCTGAATGTAATGTAAAGTAATGTAATATAAGGTAAGGTAAGGTAATGTAATGTAATGTAAGGTAAGGTAATGTAATGTTTTATAGGTAACAACAATGCTAAGTAAACAGATGACGTTTCCTAGGTAACAATAATGCCGAGTAAACAGATAACGTTTCCTAGGTAACAACAATGCTGAGTAAACAGATGATGTTTCCCAGGTAACAACAATGAAGTTTGACGTTTCTTAGGTAACATAACAATGAAGTTTGACGTTTCTTAGGTCACATAACAATGAAGTTTGACGTTTCCTAGGTAACACAACAATGAAGTTACACTTTTTCGTTTCCCTTTTTCGTAACACATTTTTGCCGAATGACCCTTCCTTATAGACGTATTTACGTCAAAAAAACAGGACAAAACTGAATGCAGAAATGCTGTGGGTTGGTAAAGATAGAGGAAGAGAGACAGGTGACAAACAACCAACATAAAGTGTCAACACCTTAGGAAGAAGAGGAGACAAAATGAGAATGACATTATTTTTTAGGTTAACACAGAAGCAAATTTATTATAACCAGAACCACCTCCATAGTGGCATAAGTTAAAACAATAAATTCTGTGTAATTTTAGTACATTGCTGGAAATGTTTGAACACATTTAAAAAATCACATACTCATACCCCTTCATCAAATACTCACAATTATCATCTACCACCAAACTTATTACAGAATTTGACTTAGGGAACCCAGCCTATAGCTAAATACTTTCTGGACCATGACTGTTTTATTTATGCTTACTAGATTTAACACAAGCCCAACATAAAGTAAAATAAACTAACCTGTTAATGAATTCAGATTTGTTGGTGGATAAAAATGCATCAAAAATATTTATTTGAACTCTGCTGGTATACCTATATAGATGTCTGCCAGTAAACAGTGTAACTACATCACAACTTTGTGTGTGCAAAGGAAGCATAAGTAACTGGTCATTTTACTGTAAATATATACAAATATTTTAATTATAGGAACAACTTCAGAATACTGTGACCATGTACTTGGGCCTCTTAACATGCACGTACAACCTGACTAGACCCAACTCAAACACAATGCCCCCTTGTAGTTGAAGCTCATATAAATAAAACTTAAATATCCAGACAAAACCACAGAGAACACAATACATGTACATGTCCTCATTATATACTGTTTATTCTGGAAATCATATGAAACCTATAAATACATTCTATGGCCAAATGCAGAATTACTGTACAGGTAAACCACGATTTAAACCGGGGATGCGTTCCTGGACGAACTGGCGTAAATGGAACAGGAAATTGAAACTCTTTTTATAATATAAATCAATGGGAAGTCAATGGCATGCATTCCTGGCACCCAAACACTGATGACTTAAGTTCCTCATAAATTGACTTCGCCTTATCCATGATAGCAATTTTAGTCAAGGGAATGTTTTTTCGATTCATGTCATCCACCCATAGCAATAGTAATTTCTCCATTAAGATCAGCTAAGTTCTGCATTTACATGTATTTGGTTCCTGTATATAGTACTTACATATGGTATAAGTACATATATATTGAGAGTACTTACGTGTCAACCATCCTTACACCTCCTTTTAAACCATTTTTGAATGCTCCCTTTCCTCTCCCACCAGCCAGTACCTGCGCTTTCAATACAAGATCCTTCACATTCAGGTTCTTTGCAATTTCTTGTGCTTCTGCCTTTGTCTTTGCAATACCAAATTTTGGTACTGAAATACCTGCATCTTTTAAAAGTGTGTAACTTATATGTTCGTGTACATTCAAATTTCGTCGTTGCTGCTGGTTCCATTTGCTAGCTGTAGTTGCACCAACGAGCTAGAAAAACAATACAACACAGACTAACATAATAAAGCATATACACACATACATTACACAATGCAGAAATAGCTGTTGCTGGTATAAATATCAAAAATTGCACAAACCATAAAACAAGTTCAAAAAAGAAAGGCAGTTTCAGTCACATCTCTCCTATCAATGTTAATGTCAGTAACCAGTTTGATTCAAACTGAATTGACCTCCAATGACATACATGTATATTGTATTGTACCTAAGTTATGGGCGTATACTTCATGCATTAAGTAATGACTAACAGAAAATATGGCACATATATAATTTCCATATAAATGAAATTATTATAATATGTCAGGTTCTTCACATTAATACATCACATGTCAGCTATTTACTACCTTTGTGCCATGTTTTCCAATCAAAACTTCAGCAAAAGCAGCTCCCCTATACAACATGGTCGCCATTCTGCTTACGAAAGACTACGTTAATCACATTCATTCTCGAACGATACGCAAGCTTGAAGGTCAAGCACTAATTATGTAAATTGACTTTTAATCTCTAAAAATAGTGTAGGCTGCATTAATCTCGACCAGTCACTAACGAACAGAGGGCAACCTTCATTTGCAAAAACTGATAACCTCTAAAACTTAAAATATGCTATATGTGACCTTAAGTAATTAAATTTGCTCCGCGCACCAAAGTCCATTTAACCTACTTGGTTAAGAAGGGCATACACATAATGGAATGCTTTTGCCAGGTATATTAGGTTTGCCCGATCTCCTGCCCGTATACAGTTTTAAATATTAATTCTTTCATCCCATTTTGCACGTTATAATAGATTAATGAAATTTTTAATTACTCGTATTTCTTTGCTTTGGTTTTGATTTCCATACCTTTTTGAGGACAACATAATTCCGCAATAAAGATGGTTTGGAGAACATCGTAGTAGTCTGATCTATGGTAATATTACCCAAATTCTATAAACACTGCTACTGTATCTAGTCTTTATAAGATAAGTACTTTAATATTCTAAAACGTTCTTACTAGCACAAAATTATCTAGTCTACGACACACTTCTACAACCGATTCACAGCTCAGCTCTTTTCTCAATAACGAAAGCGGATTGTTGATGACAGTAATGTAACACAACAATGCCGAGCAAACAGATGTAATAATTACTTTCTTAGGTAACATAACAATGCACGCAAGCTGACCATTGTTGTAGGTCCATATTTACACATTGTTGATATAGATCTTACACGTTTTCCCATGTAACAATGCCGAGTAAACAAATGACAAACAAACCAACACAACAATGCAGAATAAACATTGTTTACTCGGCATTTTTGTCGGTCCATATTTACACATTGTTGATATGGATCTTACACTTTTCCTAGGTAACAAAAATGCCGAGTTCCATAGGTAACCATTGTTGTCGATATGTTGATACGGATCTTACACATTTTCGTTACACTTTTATGCCGAATGACCCTTCCGTATAGACGTATTTACGTTAAAAAGTGTAACGAAAATGTATAAGATCCGTATTAAAAATCGACAATGGTTACCTATGGAACGTCGTGTTTACTCGGCATTGTTACATGGGAAAACGTGTAAGATCTATATCAACAATGTGTAAATATGGACCTACAACAATGGTCAGCTTGCGTGCATTGTTATGTTACCTAGGAAAAATCATCTGTTTACTCGGCATTGTTGTGTTACATTACTGCCGTCAACAATCCGCTTTCGTTATTGCGGAAAGAGCTGAGCTGTGAATCGCTTGTAGAAGTGCGTTGTAGACTAGATAATTTTGACATTACATTACATTTCATTTTTTTTCATTACATTACATTACATTCAGCTACCTTCCTTTCATTGTATTTATTGCTTAAATATAATTTAAATACAGAGACGTATTTACGTCAGATTCTCCGGAACCGTGGTTCCACTGCCAATTTTTTATAATAAAATTTGTGATTTGTCTATCAAAAAATGACGTCATCAAACAAATAACGCTTCACGACGAGATCACCAACTACCAAGACAGTCGCATGTCACTGCTCCAGAAGCAGCACATCGCATTCTTGAAAATGAAGATTTGTCTGACCCGGTGTCCTACGTGAGCGTTTAAATGCGAGCGGTACCAACCCCCCAAAGGGAGGGGTTGGTCAAGTGTTTTAACTCCCTTCGTTTCATTGTATGCCGAGTAAACAGATGACGTTTCCTAGGTAACAACAATGCCGAGTAAACAGATTTTAAAACGCAAGTCAAGTGTTTTAACCCTCCATTCGGGGGGTTTAGTTTCTTACTCAAGATTTTAAAACGCAACCAACCCTCCGAAGGGGGAATTTTATATTATTCTTTGATGACGTAATTGTTTGGCTACAAATTGTTTGACGACAACGGGGAATCAGAAATGTTTATAGTAGATTCGGGATTCCCCGTCGTCGTCAAAAAATGACGTCATCAAACAACACAACTGTGACGAGTAAGCAAACCAACACAACAACGCCGAGTAAACAAATGACGCTTCACAATCCCGAGATCAACTACTACCAAGTCAGTCGCATGTCACTTCTCCAGAAGGAGCACAACACATTCTTGAAAATGAAGATTTGACTGACAGTTGGCCTCCGAACACCGACGTAAAGAACTAAAACGTCAGACCAATAAAGAAATGAAGAAAAGTGAAAGAAGACGTTATCAAATATTTGAAGTACCAAAACCAACAAGATGAACTGATACTAATAATACTACCCATTCAAGTCATACTACTCATTCAATGAATCGACTCAACGTTCCAGTAAATCGTTTTATGATTGTTGTGCACATGGTGCTCCGAAAGGAGCGCGTTGCTCTAGTAATTAAAAGTGATTACCAATGTATAAGTTCCCCCATTGGAAATCTGGACACCTTTCTAATTTTCCACAACCAGCTTAGATAACTATAACACTGATTTTATCTCCATCATTACAGGAAATTATGCATCACAAAATGTACTGGCATTTGTTATTTCCCCACATATGCCACTTGTTTTACATCTCCTACCTTTCCTGGCATGTTGGAATAAATCATACCAAGCTGTATCATCCTTCCCCTCAAATGCCCATACTCTTTTGCTCAAAGTGAACTGCATGTGTCCTATAGGGGGAGGCTTGAAACGTTTCAGTAGATGCACTTCATATAGGCCATTGGGTCTTTTCAAGCTTGGCATGCATCACTTGACTATCGAGAAATAATGTAGGATAAGAAATACAGTAATTATAGTAATCTTATGTCACTGATTTCCAACATAATTTGTATTATTTACTAAATTTAATGCATAGTGATAATACTCAGTAACTTCCATTTCAAGTCTTGGTATTACCTGACATCTTCCATACTCATGCAATATTTGTATGTTAACAGTTGCTATAAACCAATATTTCAAAGAACACCTCTAGAGGATAAATGGTTACAGACTGAAAATTTTAAATGGAAAGTTCACATTAATTATGTTTTTTGCACCAGCATACAGCTGTATGTATGCATATAACTTAATAAAATGTAGTGCAACAAACAGTTCTTTAGGATTTAGCATTGTCTTCTGATGAAGGTGACAGAAAGTAATAATCTGTGGCGTAACAGCCCTCTGAGAGCCAAAGCCGACTAGCTGGCTGCTGGCCTCACGTTCACATGCTTAAGCAGAGGTGAACGATCATTCAACCAGATATAGTGACGTGTGGTCAGCATGACGAACCCCCAGCCATTGCTAGTTTCCATGACCGGATTACGCTACCCATTGCAGCACCCCAATTTCCTCACGATGCTGGGTTGGCACTGGTCGAAAATCTCATGAGAAATTTCTTTCCCCGAGACTCGAACCAGCGCGCTTTCTGTATCACCGGTCCGAAGCATGATGCCTCAGACCACGCAGCTACAAAAACCACCTTCACTCTTACATTCAACTGAATAAACCACAAACTGTTTATCCAAGGTTATCACACACTCCATCTCATATGACTGAAATCAGTCTTTTTCGCAAGTGCCACCACTTCTCGCTCTGCCTCTAGAATTACATTTGGGATAAAGGGGGGATGGGGGAAGAGGCAATCCCTTTCCTATAAACAAAACCATAAATATTTAGGTATAAAGTGTTAATCTTCAGCACTTTTAAAATATTTTAACACATTCATCAATGTACATCTCATATGAACAATCAGTTGACAGTGACATGTATCGAACATTTAAGAATCCATTTTGGTCTTCATAGTGTCAACTTTTTAAAATGCACAAAATCTGGAGATTTACACAATTCATGCACAGAAGTTTTGTTAGAACTTTCCTATAACAAACAAAATAACCATATTCTGTTCCAATGATAAGTACAATTAACTCTATTTACATTGGCTATAATCTCTACATATAACCTCTCTGGTTTAACATAAATACAATTTTTTGATTTTTAGAGTTTCACTACATAGAAGTTTTTAAATAACTCTTTTCCATTTTGAAAGACAAATAGTTTTCTCATGGAAAAGTCTGTAGTGTTATGGCTTGTTAAAAAAGTTGTACATTAATTTTCTTCCCGAGAGGTAGAGCCATGTGAACTTTAAGAAATGGTAAACATTTTGATTTAAACAGTTTCACTTCAAAGCTGTCATAATATTAAGATGGAAATACTGTTAAGTCAGTTTATTTACAAATACAAAATAAATACAGAAAATCAAACCTTTCTGTAAATATCCTCCTCTATATAGTACAAACATGATCAAGACTTCACAAGAAGTCTGCCATTCAGGGGGTTTAACATATATTTGATTGAACAGTAAATATAATGTAAATATATAACACTGCCAATTAAACATCATTACAACTGCAAGTAATGTTCTGGAGATTCATATAAATTAAAAATCTGCAATGATGAGATGACAATGAACTGATGTTCAACAATTCTCTTTGTCAACTCATTTTCTAAAATAGGAATTGTATTTGAATGTTATGCCATTAGTAATTTTAAGTATTATATATGGCAAATAAAACATTGTGTATTCCAATTTGGCATCCACAATTAAGTGTTAACTATGGATGGTCAGATGTGAAACACAAAAATAAAGATATTGCTCCATTTTGTTATCCAATATGATAGAACATGAGGAGCATATGATAAAGTGCTCAAATATAACATCAGTTTTGTAAAAAAATAGTTATTTTGAAGATCACAAGATTCAAAATTCATAGTGCCAAACTAAAGCGCTCATTCAATGTGGTAGCAGTAAGGGAGGGAACTGGTTTAAATCCAGACAGACCAACAGCATGAGGCATAAAATCCGTAGTACTTGTTGATGGCTGGAAAGTCTTCCCCTGTATGGCTGCAATCTCTTTTTGTAGCTGCAAATTGAGAGCACTTCTTACTTTAGTTACAGGCACACAGCGTTCAACTGTGGGAGCTCTATTATGTTTGACACCTCTAATTACTGATCCTGCCTGTTGGTTGTGGCCAACTGATGAGGCACTGTTGTACCGACTGATTGTTGTTACAATAGAGCCTTCACGTGACATATCAACCACACTTGAAGCTCCACCAGCAGCTGCTATGTTCTGACGGCTAAGATGGCTGTTGTTATTGCTGCGTCTAGTAAATGAAGCTCCTAAATAATTAAGAAATCACTGTAATTGGTTCACATTCTTAAAACAGCTATAATGTTTTTAATAACTGAATGGATTGTTAAAAAAAAATTAAGAGGGAGAAAGTAAGAGGCTGGACCATGATGAGCTTCATAATTTGTAGATGGCTGTCTTCTGGTTATACAGGTCCTTGCTGCTTCCATCATCAGGGCAATGATAGTACTGATGATGGAGACAACAAGAACATCTGAAATGTTGGTAAACTTCTACCACACTATATGGTGCTACAACCGAAAAGACAGCCATCTTCATACTCACTGCCATAAGAACCTCAAATCCTACTTCATAATTTGTAGTTATCATAAAATGTTATTATGGTGACCAAATCAAGGATGATGATATGGGCAGGGGAAGCAACATGCACGGGACAGATATAAAATACATACAGCATTTTAGTTGTACCAACTGAGAAGCCTACTAGATACACCAATGATATTAAAAAAGGATTTTGGAGAAAAGAGTGTGATGAGTGATTCATGTAGCTCAGGATAGGGACGAATGGCAGGTTCTTGTGAACATGATAATAAATCTATGCATTCTATTAATTGTGGGAAATTTCTTGACTAGGTAAGTGACTATTAGCTTATCAAGAAGAACTGTTTTTTTGGAGTTAGTGTTAACTGGTTATTTAAAAAACAAACGTAATTATCATTAAGGGATTTGTTGAAAGGATACATTAACAATAACTTTCTCTCTGAAGTGAAAAGTCAAAATTAGAATGTCACAGGTATTAGGACTGCTATTTCAAACCTTATCACCAGCTTCCCTGTGCATTAGTTCCACAAGAAGGGTTGCTAGTTCTGACAGATTGGCCAAATCGAATTGTATTTCTTGTTGCCATTACTATGTTGGATTTCATTCTCACTGCTGGAGAAATGCCCTTACAAATACATACACACTGCACCAGTGTGTGCTAAAACTTTTTTATCAACAGTCTTATCTCACTCAATTTTATTTTGAATTATGAGGGGCAGCTTGCATAGGGTGCAAAAGAATTTATTTATGAACAACACAAGAGATATAAATGACATACTTTCAGAAATTGTGGGCACAGTAAATTATTAACTCAGGACTAAAATAGGGGCATTCCAGTTCATCTAACACTTATACCAAGTAATGAACAACAGATACTTAAGTAAAAAATGAGATGCAGTTTTAAAAGATTCTCTTTTGACATAATACATTATTGAACATAATTCTTACCTTCTGTTGCACATTTGAAGAGATATTAAACACGCATCTGTACAATGCACAAAATCGCAGGTGGTTAGAAAAGTGCTATCACAACATTCTGTTATACAATGGCCAAGTCTGAAGACAGAAGAATAGACAATTCTCAATTCCATATTTACCCATAAAAGTATTATTTCCACCAAACTTTTTTCGTATGTTGGTATGCTCCTTACGGCCATGAAGTTTCGCTGCCAGGTCATTGGCTATACAAACAATCAGCTTGTCAGATGATCCAGTCACAGAGTTCTTGTCCATAAACTGGCCAGACCTGAAAGATGACCAAAAACATTATAAATGTATATGCTAGTAGTAACAATGATGGCGTAACAATAAATGACACTTGTTAAATTTATTTATTAAATCTATATTAGACTTGGAAATAGTACAGTCATATAATTTACTTTTAGTTTAATCAGTTCAATATAACTCTGCTTTACATGAACCTCAAATCACAATTAATTTATTTTATCAAAAATGGCACAATGTACAAGAAATTACATGACTATGTAAAGTGTCATAAACCTTTAAACGACGGGGATTTAAATGGCAAAGTGGTAGCAGCCCTACAGAGTTTTTTTGCAGGTTTTTAAACTTTTGTGCACGCTCTACAGAAAACTTTAATATTATCTAAAGTAAACATGAAAAATTGACGAAATAAAAGTCATATTTATTCGAATAGAACAGAGAATACATAGTTTTTTAAAAATGCAGTTAATATCTTAATTACCTAAATAGGCCTCAGTAACTTTACTTTCTTCTTTGGAAGCTCATTCGACATGGTAGAAGCCATGGTTGTGAACTAATAACCACACAGAAATATTTGTTTCCCCTACTTCAGTGGATACACAATCTTTTCACAGCTTTGAATAGGGGGTCCGACAAAACCCACTTGACAATAACAATGTTTATTGCTGTTTATGGTTATATTTCCCAGTCGACAGCTCAGGTTGAAATTGTCAGAACCCTAAAGAAAGTGATTCATTATTTGCAGCCCCTAAAAGAGGCCAAAAGACGTAGCCAAGTCTACTTACAATGTTGCAAGTTTTGAGTTCTGCTCCGGGAACGTTCGTCCCAGACTGGGAACGCTAGTAAGATAAAGGTTAAAGGCCAATGAGGTAAATACAATTTAAAAAACGTGCATTTGGAAAATATGTACACTCCAGTGCAGTATACCTTGGCACTTATTTTGGAAAACATTAAGTTCCCATTACTAAGATATATCTTACTTACTTCAATACTCTTGCCTTGTTTAATTTTCGTTGCACTGTCTGTTGTTTCTGAAGACGAATGATCTGATCAGAATGTAAAGAGTTCACCATGTCTCGACTGCCATGAAAACCTCTCTGCTGCCTCATTTCAGGTCCTCGCAAACCTCTAGATATAATCTAAAAGAAAGAACAGAGATACAATAATTTTATTTTCACACCTGGATCAAAATAAACCTTGAACAACCGGCAACAACACCCTCCGACAACTTATAAACGCTCTAGTTGCCTGCACAGTAGGATCCAGGTGCCAGTGTCATTACAGTGGTGGCAGCACCAACATGAAGTTAGAAAACAAACTTTGTGCATTACAATCACTTGACTAACCCTATATCCACCTTGAACAGAACCAGAATTCCAATACTGCAAAGCTTGCTGCCTGTTCTGTTGTCTTGTATTGAGGATTTGAGTGGCCAATCGAATTCTGTTACGAGCCAATCGTTGTCCAGGATAGCGCGACCTTCCTCGAAAGCTGCCAAAACTACGAATACTTCCAGTGTATGTCGAGTTTTGTACTTTACTGCCTGAACTTCCTGTACCTCCATTTCGTTTCATAAGTGGGTGCTGTCCATAAAACCTGCCAAATTTATGTGCCAAAAACTGGTTTCTGTAAGACACCTACAAGCAACAAAACAACACCAGTATAAGGTACAATCTATAATCATACAACACACTGTTTGTATTTTGATATAAAATAACTTATTAATATTGAAAAAAAATAATTTTATTCTTAGTACAGCCTGCCCCACTAAATGTTACTATGTAACATTTCTAATGTGGCAGACAGCTGTGACTGTACACATATCCTTTTAATGCTCAATCCATTCTAACATAACATGCCAGCAGTGATGCCTGTGTATGCTTTAGTAAACTTACAAATATCCATAAATCAAATGAGGGTTGAAGGTGGATGCAATACATTCCTCTAAAACACAAGACTATATATATGGTGTCATAACCCAACAGAACAACATAAAATAGTCCTTAAATTACATACTAATACAATGAAACTTGTGTCCTGCAATGAAGCTCCAAGATTTCCACGTTTCTGTTAGACAATAATCTTTAGTAACTGAGGAATTAGAAAGGAACCCATAAACATAACATGACAGATTTTACTGCAGTAACCGAAGATTACTGTACCACACAGCACCACAGTACTTCGTATGTTCTACTAAATCAATTACTGTGGGCCATGATAAAAAAGCTCTCACCTGATTAAACCTTCTACCTTGTCCTTGAAATCTGCCCCGCAATGAAACAGGGGTTGTGTTACTTTGGTAATTTTTGTTGCCCTTACCACCACGTCTACTTTGTAACTGTTGTGTTCCTCTAGATATGACACTTCCAGGACCTGTACCAGGCTTTCTCTTATTAAACTTTATAATCTCATCTGAAATACAGACAGTAAGATTTTGAAATAATAAATTACAATAAAAACATCAGGGTAATATACATGAATCTATTGAAACAACTCTTGTTAGTGCCAACTATGCAGACTTTCTGCAAATAAACTGAAGCCTGCTATGAAACTCAGATGATAATGATGTAGTGCAAAGGGTGCACACCATAGTTTATAAATCACAATATGCTGTACATTTCCTCTGTACTTATTACGTCTGGCTAGTAATTTTCATGCCCACAGTCCCTCTCTCCTCAAGGTGTGTAGTTCTTGATGGTTATTATTGGCACATGTGGAAGTTTATTACTTTCTTCTGTGTAAAACAAGACAGGCAAAATATTGTGAATGGTGAGTAGCTAAGGATGTGAAAGGGGACTGTCATTGCCTATTTCAGCATTATATACCTGGAAAGACTTCAGAAAATCTCAGTCAGGATAGCTTCTCTGTTCGAGTTCTAATGAAGGAGGTTTCTGTTGCTTGGAAACTAAACACAACTGAAAAATGGAGCCAAAACTGTTTGTTTTCATGAGGAGATTACAGAACAAAGGCCATACAACCTTGAAAATCTGCCCTGTGATCAAATCTTGGTGAACATTAGTTCTTTGGCTTGGAAACCAAGAATGACAAAAGAACAGTGCCAAGACCAAAGTTGTTACATTCAGCAATGGGATTACAACATCAAAGGCAACAACACAAAAAAAATTGATCTTAGTTTGACTCCCAGTAAAGGTAGTTCAGAAACTAGGCACAACAGAAGAGTTCCAACACCAGAGTTGTTTGTTTCAGTGGCAAGGATACAGGAACAAAGGCCACAACCTCTTCCCAGAGGTTGTGACCCTTGTTCCTGTCCCAGTGAAGATGGTTTCTTCAGCCTGGAAACCAACTAAGACAGAACTGTACCAACACCATGGATGTTTCAATGGAATGATTACAAGAACAAAGGAAAGAAACAAAAACCTGTCCTGGTCACAATGGTTTCTCCAACTTGGAAACTAAGCACAACTGAAGAATGTTACTGAGCATTTGTCAAATATCCCTATAGTAACACCATGGGCATTTTGCTAGTTCACAAAAATAAACATATTTTCATTGTTTTTGGGATATAACTTTGGTGATGGAGAGAAGAAAAAAGTATGACATGGTTCTTTTAATTTAAAACCAATGTAGTAGTAACAAAAATGACAAGTAAAAACATATATCATTATGAAGCCATCAGCAGTATTTTATCTGTTTCCTGACAAGAACCTAACTTATTATAAATCTACTGCTAATCTAAAGAAAGATAATGTTTAGTGAAAGGAACAAAAATTGTCCCCATTATGGTGACCTGAAAATATTAATATTTAAATGTAGTTTTTTCAACAAATCTTAAACTTTACCTACCAAACTAAATCTTGAATACAAATACACTTTATTCAAGAGCTCACAATACCTTCTACAGATTTGGGATTCTTTTTGATAAACATTAATTCGACATTAAATTACCCGTTTCCTGCTCAATACGTGAGACATTCTTACCATTTTTTGCAGAATATTAGCATATACATACCTAGAGACATCCCCAGCTTGTCTGTCTGAGATGTCATGTTCGTTTTTGTTACCGAAGGCTACAGAATCATTGCTTCACACACAACTTGCTTTTAATTTAATAATTGGACATGTGAATTCATCCACACCTGAAATTCGAGAAATCAGTTCACTTTAACCTTGCCCGGAAATACTTCTCTTCTGACAAACAGCAACAAACAAGGGCAACCGATGTTATTGCACGGTGAATTATGTTTACGGCTTCAGTCATAAGAGTGCAGCAGAGGTGCTAGTGTCAGATAATTCCTTAGGAAGGATTCAGCGACAAGCAAGAAGTGATAGGTGATATTATCGCCTACACATTTTATTCCAGCAACAATGCAGCCACTAAATTATATACAACATCGGTAACATTTTGTTCTAAAGAATCTTGTTAGATCTGTAAAGCCCAGTGTTATTAGTGCCACCTATGTTAACATTCAATAACCCTGTAGTTTGTATTCATTTTTCCTATGTAGTGCTTCAAAGCACAGATTACCTTTCCGGTGCCTAGTATGTTTCGTGCCCGTGCTCTCGCCCTCGGATATTTTTGTTTGTTTGTGAGTTAGGTCGCAGATTAATTCGGGAGCTGGGGCGTATCTCTGAGGGTACGGTGTAGTTCCCATATAATATCCATGGGAAAATACGAAGAAAATGCAACACCAAAATTTGCATATTAATTATAATTACTTTCTTATTAGTTCAACTGTTGGAATGTTTTAATAAAAAAGCTTTCTATCATATTTCGTGGGTTTAGTATGCATACCAAGTCTCATTAACATGAGTCTTTTCGGTTGATATGTTGGACGAAGATTTGTTTTAATTATAACTTTGGAGCAGTTGGAATGATAAGATGGTTTATAATTGTAATGATTTGACAAGGTTGAGAATATGAAGACGGGCGTATGCCAGAACATATTACCTGGCCTTTGGGTGCTTGGGGGTGTGTCTGGAGGTTGCAGTTATGGTGTTACATGTGCACATGTACCTATTTGGTTGCTATAGGGTTGTCATGATTAAAGCATTTACAATGAAATGTGCGTGCTCAACAGTAAACTATTAAAATAAAATAGGGAAATTATTTAGTTAATGATCAAACACCTTTTACAAATTATTCTCATTCATGGCAGACTGGCAAATAGATTTTCTCTGAATGAGGAAGAATGGAAGAAGCTTTTGAAGAAAGCCAGGACCCACAGAGGGCTGTAGAGCCAATGATGATGATGCTACTACTGGTTTCTTCCTTAAAATTGTGTATTTGCCGGTAGATGATGAAGCTACTACTGGTTTCTTCCTTAAAATTGTGTATTTGCCGGTAGTCACAACTGTTTATAATTTTTACTAGCCTCCAACTTCATTCTCCACACCTTGCTACTGAAAAAAATATTAAATCGCTCATAACTAATAGACACTTCTTTGGTGTTTGTAGTACTATCCTTTTTATGTACTCTTATGCACCTAAAAGAGTGGATACTGCATGACCATTCCATCGACCTTTTTATTCTGACCTGGCAGGCTTTGGTTGGTTTTAACCTTCATGAAGTGTGCCTGTGATTCAGATTGTAGTATTCTGGGTTGTGTTGTATAGTCTTTTGTTGCATACCACTGGTTTAGAGGAACAAGGTGCCTGCATCTTTAGGGTTGAAGTAAGTGTCAGGATGTTGAAGGGTTATATAGGGGTAGGCAGATGATTGGGATATGGAGCACATAAAGATTGGACTGTCAGAGCCATAAAAGAGGAAGGGAGATGAAGCTCAGTACAGATGGGCCTCAACAACCCAGATCAGTGTTATGAAAACCTGAAACCCTAGATATGTCTATAGTCTTGTTTAGATTATGTAAAGTACAATGTGATATTTTAATATTATGAATGAAGGGTTGGGAGGATGTCACAACATACTGTGGCTTAATATTTGGCTGGACAGACTGAATAAAATCACAAAAATTAAATGTGGAACACTCACATTACCAATTGTAAAGATTTGCAACAACTGTTTTCCTTGGCAGAATTTGATACCTTTTCTTCAGTCCCTTCAGGTGAATTCCAGTATATTAATTCCTCCCACATCACTTAAGACATTAGATTCTACATAAATTTAGCAGTTAATATAGCATTGTGAATGTACCATATACCCAGCTTCTATTCAACTTCATCCAGAAGTACTTGTTGCAGTTAGTTCTAATTATGATTCTGATTTATTGCTTTACAGGTAAAAAGAAACATTTAATCAAAACTTATTTATAGGGGATAAACTAATATTTAATAATGAATGGATTCACTATCAGGGAAGCTAGACGTGAAGATTGTAGAGAAATTCGGAGACTGATACAGGCAAGTTCATAGCTGTCATTTAATACACTCTTTTAAGGTACTGGCATGAAAGATATTCTTTTATATTAGAATCTGTTTTCTTCTAATATCAATATGGTTTTAAATTGAAACAATTCTTTGGCACTACAGATTAATTATCCTAATTTAGTTGTCACTAGTGAATGTGTAAATCTTCTGTCTTTAAATACACCATAATGAAACTGCTTATTTAATATGAATGGAATAGAATTTATTTACATTCCATAGATCGTTCATAGGCCTAAGCCAAGGATGTAGAACAGGTCATAGCACAAATACAATACTAGTTTCTAGCACAAATATAAATACATATTTATAACAGCTATTTACAGATTTTTGGAACTATAGTATTACAGCAAAATAATTATGATGAGAAACCATCGCCATTGTTACATACATGTATTTATGAATTCTTCAACTGACTAGAAATTTAGTTGTATGTATTTCCTCGATTATTTTATCATCATACCCCATATTTAAATTTACACAAGTTCTGTCATAGTACAAAATTTTATGAAATTTGTTTTGTCAAAATTTAACGTGAGTTTATTGGCTTTAGTCAATTTGTTCAATGTAGCAAAGACATCATTTATGCACTTTTGAAAACAGTCAATTTCTGGATATGAAATAATAACATTAGTATCATCAGCAAAGAGTATAGGTTTAGAATGAGTGTTGATGGTTGGGGGCAGATCATTGATATATATGAGAAATAGCAGAGGACCAAGTATTGAACCTTGAGGCACTCCATGCTTTACAACTCCCCAATTTGAGTAGGTGCTATCATTTGATGATTTTATTTCTACTTGTTGCTTTATGTCATGAAGGTATGATTTAAACCACTTGCCAGCTATATTTCGAATTCCATAAAAAATTAGTTTTGATAGTAATAATTCATGATTTATGCAATCAAATGTTTTAGCAATATCATAAGATATTCCACCAACATTCACTTTATTATTTAGTGCACTTAAGATTTCATCTGTAAAATTGAATAGGGCTTTATCAGTTGAGAGATTTTTTCTAAATCCAAATTGTTCACCTGCAAAGACGTTCGAGTTTAAATCACTTACTCTCTTATTCATAACATGACTATCTAATGAATTTATATTACTATGCAATGTTATGTTATTTACCACCTTAGCACTGCGTAGTGATTTCTTTATGAATGGAACAACTGCTAAGCAAGAAATTGCAATGGACATATATTTCGTCAGCACTAAATAAAATGTTTGTAATGGAGAACAATGTACAAAAGGATTTTATGTATAGGATAATCAAACTGATTCTTGGTTTTTTATTCCATCCCTTTCCACACACCAAGAATCAACAAAACACACCAGGGTGCTACACTACAGACTTCATACTCAATCTTCCTAATCTGTGATGGCACAATTAGGTTAATGACAACTATCTCTGGAGGACTGAGTCTTTTTCTGTGTCCAGGTTGATGTCTTTCTATTCCTCCATCACTCTTTCAAAATTAATTTTTCTGCTCACACAGCCTCTTCTATAATGAGAATATAGATGCCTGTAGCAGAGTAGAGTAGAGTTTATTTACATTCCATAGATCCTTCTTAGGACTCAACCAAAGGATGTAGAACATGTCATTTCATGCAATATACATACACTTCAGAACTTTCAACACAAGTACAAGAACATATTTCACATATCAATGTACATAAATTTCAGATTCTGCAATACAAGTATGAAAAATAATTTTACAAATTAATATACATAAACCTCAGAATTGTAAATATAAATACAAAACTTGCTTTACATATACGTAGATTATGGATATAAAGCTTAAACATTTTCAGCAGAGATGAAATCATCTACAGAATAGAAGGAGTGAGTAAAGAGGTAATCTTTCAATGCAGGCTTGAATACCTTTATATCATAATTTAGACTTTTAATTGTTGGTGGAAGATTATTAAACAACTTGATACCTGTATAGTACACTCCTTTCTGATATTTAGTAAAGTTAGCATTTGGCACATATAGATCATGTTTACGTCTTGTATTTAAATTATGTACATCTGTATTTCTTTTAAATTTATCCATGTTTTCCACCACAAATGATAGCAAGCAGAGTATAAATTCACTTGCAAGTGGAAGTATATTAAATTTACGAAATAATTTTCTACAAGATACCCTGCTTTTGACACCGGCCATTATTCTAATTATTTTCTTTTGCATGTAAAAAACTTTATTACTGTCTGTTGAATTTCCCCAAAAGATTAATCCATATGACAATACAGAGTGAAAGTATGCAAAGTAAACTAGCTTTAAAGTATCTATTG